CCATCTGCGATTCTTCCAAAAAAATCACCAACACTTCTTCTGCAGGGGCGCGAACATAAGTACAGGATTTCACGAGCAAAGATACCCGGATCAGTAGTAGGACGAGATCGTACACATACAAAAAACATATACAAAACATTAAACAGGATCCGTTCCACCTTTACCGGCTCGCTTATTGAGATCAAGATTTGCATAAGGCACCATTTTAGGATTTGTACGTCCCACAAAATCTTTCCATTTTGACATACGCTCCTTTTGATACTGCTCCATGAAGTAGTCATAGAGGTTCAATCTTTCTAAAAATAAAATACTGCAGTGGGATCCAAAGCTGCATTTCTGGAAATTACAGTCGTAAAAAGGGAAAACACTTATTTTTTAAGTTTCATTATTTTCGCAAAAATCCGTAGGTACCATTTTTCCGAAAAGAATGGAATCAAAGCATCTAATTGTTTTGCTTCAATCTAGAATAGCACACTTTTCCTAATAATGATTTTCCTCCTGGAGTAATTTTTATTCGCCAGTCTTGAATTTAGAATTTATTAATCGAATTTGTCCACTTTTTAACAAAATTCAATAAATCTCGACCGTTTTCTATGCCCTTCTGACTGGTTCTCAAGAAAGTTTTTGTGGAGAAACGCCTCAGCGCATAAAATGATTGAAAATATTTCGGACGAAAATGAAAAACATTTTTTTTTTTGCGTATTAATTTCCTTGATGGAAGAAGTCTTAACCTAGTTGTAAGACCCAAACAGAACATGCTAATAATCAGTTTGCCATTAAGTCAACCCGTCCCAAACAGCTATTGAAATAATACCTGTACGTGCGAAGGCTATTTCAAAAATTAGTCAAATTCACTGCGTCCTCCTACCTGAAAGAAATGAGGAAATCCTTAATATGGAGCAATAACACTTCACAAGCACTAGCCACGTCCACACTAATATTTGAAGTATAGCTACTGCTAACGCGCAAAACCCGTGGAAAACCGGCCAGGAAGCCGTCACAAAGAAAAAGAGAGAGAGAAAAAAAACTTGCTCTTCAAAGGAAGATACACAGTAAATGTGCTGCCAGGTCCAACCTGAGGCAGAAGGACCAGTGGTGTAGTGGTAAAACATTGTGTTCGGACGAGAACAGGAGTGGTTCGGTTCCCTTCCGGCCCAGAACAATTTTTGGAGAACGAGCTTCGTTCATAATTGTCGTGTGACCGGGACGATTTCTTTCTACTCATATTACGAAAATTATTCATTTTTTAACGTACCATTTGGTCCCCATGTATGCGCCGCTCTTCGCGGTCTTTTCGCCACAGGTG